GTATGCTGCTATATGTGAAAGGAAGCATATTAGTATGCACAGAAAATATGTTGGCTTAGGGATCAGTAATAATGGGCATCAAGGATGAAGATGCACCTCTTAAAGGGTTTAAGCCTTTACTTGTGAGTCAGCAGAATACTTTTATGTCAACTGTACAGCCTAATGCTTTGCTTTTAAAAAGGAATACATACTTCTTCTCTACCATTTTTAAAAGTGGGTCCACTCACCTACTTATTTATCTAGGGTTTGTAATTTTTTTCTCTTTTTTTTTTTTGTTAGTGTATTTTTGCTACTTACTATTATCTTCTTTCAAGTTATATACAATAATCTACATTTAGACTGAGGACTCACTTTATTCCAAAACATACTGTCTTGTAGTGACTTTCTACAGCACTTATAAGGTGTAAGACAACCTGACAGGTAAGAGGAAGGATCATTACTTTCCCTTCTGCTCACTTCCCCAAGCTTTACAACTGTGCCTTTCAGAAATTCTTCTGCGTACTTGGTGTCCTTTCACCTCCCCCAGGTAGCCCCTACTGAACTTGAGTGAACTTACTACGTATTTCCCAAACCACGGTCCCTCTCTATAGAGCTATATTAAACTCATTCATTCTCCAGCCAGTAGTTTGAAAACAAATCATTGCTAAAACACTAAAAACACCCTACATGCCCTTGTGCATTTTTCTTATCAATTTGTACATTTAAATACCATCAGAAGTTGTCTTTTGCTAAAAATTTACCAAAATATTTTAAACACATAAAAATTTTAAAAATCAAACAAACCGAAAAACAAACCAAAAACAAAACCCCAGCATAAACATTGCTTGTATAGGCATTGGTTAGAAGAGATCACTGCACTAAGGAGTATATTCAAAAAAGTTCTTCTTTCCATTTCATTGGATTTAGTGTCATGGATTGAAAGGTTAAGGACAATGAAACTTTTTGTGGTCCTATCTTATACAATGTAATAGATGAGCAGGAAGTCTGAAATGCAATTAAAATAAAGCTTCTTTTTGGCTACTGAAAGGGGACTGTATAAACAGGTAACTAAAGGGGCAATTTAAGTATGTAAAGGGAACTTAAGAACCTAAAGAGTCTGTAATGAACTGGATATGAAGACAGCTACCAACTGATGGCCCAAGGGGCATTATGGAAACCTGGCACTAACTGAAATTTTGAATATAGCCCTTAGCTGTATAATATTTATTTAAATTTTTAAAAGCTGCCCAGCATGTCACGAATTAAGTTTATTTTGCAAGCTACCCACTGCCTAAGGGGGCAGTAATATTCAATATGAAACTGCTGAAACTCCGGTGTCTCACGGATTTCGTGGAGAAAAGAGATCTGAAGTTCCGACTCCAAGAGAACAAGGAGAAGAGGGAACACAAACAACAACAGTCCAAGGCCTACAAGAAGAAGACGGGAGAAACTCTTCACAAAGGCATTTACCTCTATGTTGCCCATTAGAAAGTCATAGCTCCACCTAAGTGCTCTCCGAGCTTCTTTCAGTTCTTCCTCCTCTGCAATCAAAAATGCATTTTCATCTGCTTCCAGTTCCTCAAATGAATCTGTATCATCTTTCTCACCCTCTACTCTTGGACAGGTATCAAAGAGCATATCAACCTCATCATCAACTGGGGTGGGCAGCAAGCTGGCACTGGGATTGTATATCAGTTCTGAGATGGTTAAAGGTTCCTCTTTCATCTTCTCTTCCTGTTCAACAGCAAGATCAACATTCTCCCCAGTGTCCTTAACTAGGGAGCTTGAAGTCACAGGTACTGAAATCTCATCTTCCTTTGGCAGTTGGATACCTGAAAAAAGGAGATTAAAATGATGATCCTAAATTTCTGCCTTCCAGGTGGCAAAACTCAGCCTTCCAATAGTACCTAACAGAGGTTGGAAAGAAGATTTTGTAATCATTTTGCATACTGAAACCAGACCATATACAATTAGCAAAAACTGGAAAAGCTTTCTGAAAATAAACAGAAGAGAGCAGCATCTTTTACAACATTGCAGTACACCAGATTTCCTTAGATTTGCCTGTTGCAGCCATCATTAGTAATGGTGTAAGGCAAAACAGAAGAGCTCATTTTCTACCGGCATTCAGACTTCTGATATAAATGTGTACCTAGTACATAAGTGAATTGGTGGCTTTTGGTGTCTAATAGTAATAATAATGGTAACAACAACACCCACCACCCACCTTTATTTCTTTGAGATGAATGAGGAGAAAGTGGTAAGATAATAGCAGAGGTTGGGAATTTTTAAGAGAGGACAACATTAAAAAGAGACAATAGATTATCAAGATAAAGTCATATTAATAGTAGAGAGGATAGAAGAAGGGGAAGGTTGACATACAGTATGAGGATTAGATATCATTGAAACAGAATGAAAATGCTTCACCTCTTAAAAAAGCTCCCTCTCCTCATATCTTTTTTCTTCCAGTCATCTTTCTACTCTTCATACTGACCATCTGTTTTTTCCCCCTCCTTTAAATTTCCCACTCCTCGTTACCAAAGAGTCTTTTTTCGCCTCACTGCTATGCTTTTTTCTTATGACCCCACTCTCCACCCAAGCTCTCTCCACTCAAAACTTATTACCCTTTTTCCAGGGTAACAGCAGTAGGTCTGAAAAAAACATCTAGCTGTTCTCCAGCTACGTTGACGCTAGAGTGGCTGCTGTTAATTGACAGTTGCAGGAGTGGAAGGGAGGAGAGTCAGACACAGACCTTGGACAAACTGATGGAAAAAGATTTAAATTTGTCCCATGCCCAACACTCATTACTATCATGAGGTACCAATTTTGTGCAAAAGGAATAGACCACACAGAGTATCATGTGCAACAGTAACATGTAATAATACTTAGTACTTCTCAGTTTGTGATGTTGAGCATCACTCCATTCTTTACTAATGACTAATCCATACGCAACATACAGAATATAACAGGTAAAACTGATACAAGGTTACATCGGTTGTCCAACAAATAACTCAGGAAATTCATGTCAAAATACTATTTATAATTCAAATTTGCCCGATTCTTTTATTTCGGCGAAAGACCTTTGTAAAAGACAGCAAACTGACATCATCAAAGATTCATCCCAGTTTTAGTGCAGTAAAGATTAAGGTTCAGAGACTGTAAAATAATGTGGTACAAAAGATAAATTATTATTACAGAAAAACAAGTACTCAGAAAAGCAGTGTATCTCCAGTGCCAATTACACTAGATGGTTTTCAGTGTGAAGTTAGAGGGTTTTGGCAAGCTCTATTAAAGTATTTTATTAAAGAATGGCAACATATTAAAAAAACCCCCAAACCAAACAAAACAAAAAACCCCACGAAAGGCACACTATGGTCACTCTGAGGTGAGGGAAATAAATCATGACCTGAAAAATGTTATAAGGAAGAGATCATCACTGCTCTGTAAATGGTTAATAGAGGACAAGAATTGAGAAGCAAAAATGCCGGTCATAAAGACATATACGATATAGGAAGATACACAGCTTAGACACATTTTGAACCAAAATTCTAAGCCAGGACTTGAATTAGGGATTCAATTATAATTGAACAAAATTTTGAAAAGATTTTTTGCAAAATTTTGCAATTTGAGATCAAAGCCTTTTGACATTTTTCTTGAAAATGTCACTGACTTTTTTTTCATATTATTAGTCCTAAGAAATGTAGATACTAACCACTGTACTGAAATTGCCAATACAGAGTTAACAAGTTGTAAATGAAATTAAACAAGTAGATTAATACTTCGTGAGATGGGGCTGCTGCACTAAGAATCTTAAAGTTTGATAAGACACTTCCTTGTGGAAATAGACTCATACCATAGAATCATAGAATGATTTGGGTTGGAAGGGACCTTAAAGACCATCTAGTTCCAACCCCCCTGCCATGGGCAGGGACACCTTCCACTAGACCAGGTTGCTCAAAGCCTCATCCAGCCTGGCCTTGAACACTTCCAGGGATGGGGCATCCACAGCTTATCTGGGCAACCTGTTCCAGTGCCTCACCACCCTCTCCGTGAAGAACTTCATCCTGATATCCAATCTAAATCTCCCCACTTTCAATTAAAACCCATTCCCCCTTGTCCTGTCACTACTGGCTCTTGTAAAAAGTCCCCCCAAGCTTCCTTGTAGCCCCTTCAGGTACTGGAAGGTGCTATAAGGTCTCCCCGGAGCCTCCTCTTCTCCAGGCTGAACAAGTCCAACTCTCTCAGCCTGTCCCCATAGCAGAGGTGCTCCAGCCCTCTGAGCATCTTCGTGGCCTCCTCTGGACTCGCTCCAACCAGTCTATATCCTTTTGATGCTAAGGGCTCCATAGCTGGACGCAGCACTCCAGGTGGGGTCTCACCAGAGCAGAGTACAGGGGCAGAATCCCCTCCCTCGACCTGCTGGCCACACTTCTCCTGATACAGCCCAGGATACGGTTGGCTTTCTGGGCTGCCAGCACACACTGCCGGCTCACGTTCAGCTTTTCGTCTACCAATACCCCCAAGTCCTTCTCCTCAGGGCTGCTCTCGATCCACTCTCCACCCAGCATAGCACCCTGATGTATGCCAAAGCGTCTGACAGTTTCCACAAAATCCTCTATGTAACCTCTGCAGCTCTCATAGCATGTTCTCCAGGCAATAAAAAGGGTAATTAAGGTACCTGCTAGGTTACCCCAGTTTACAGAATTCCCAAAAACTGGGTGAGCCATGGCTTGTCAATATCTGGTAACTTTAAAATTATACTCAGTTTAAAACCAGTTGGGATGAAATGCTAATAAATGAAACATAAAATATACAACATATTACAAATAGGTATCTTACCTCTAAAAGACAAATGACAGAAGGCCCGCACATTAAATCTACTTATATTAAATCACTTCTTGCACAAACTAGCTTGCTTCTTACCTGACAAGTCAACTTTCTGGATTCCCGTCTTGGTGTATGCTTTTATGTGTCACATTAGACTAATTACAGAAAACCACCTCGTTACAGAACACCATCCCCAAGAAGCATCCTCCCATTCAGTAAAGCGCATTTGCTACTAAAATTAGTTTCCCTTTTTAAGTCTTCAAAATGGCCCAGAAAGATATCTCTCTCTGTAATTGGTTATCTTTTCCCGCTCTCTAGGAGCTAATCTGGCCATGAGTCCAGGTGGAGGTTTCACATTCTGGCTGAATCAACCAAAAAGACGACTTTTACTTTCTCTCATTTCATCCCTGAGCAAGACCGCTTGTAAAGTTAACCTAAGAAAACAACGGTTTCTCTTCCTGGGTTAGTTCTCTGAAGGTTTTTCTTCCTGAACTGGCTGGTCAGATGTTCTTATGAGCACAGCACATTACCAGGGACCAAGAAAGAGCAGGAGTGCTACTTTCACCAGAAGAGTACTGCTTCCACCTGGCCACAAGATTTGTGTAGCTGAAACGAAACCTCATCCTCAACAAGGAAAATGCAGACATCTCTCCATTAGCTTAATTTCACTGTCTAGCTAATAATTCCTTGCCTCAACTATTCCTATCACAGTCCTCTCCTCTCACAGCCATTTTAGAAATCCATCACATTTCAGCACGAAACATGTTTTGTGCTAGAACTTACTGTCTACTCTAGTCTTTGCATTAACAAATATACTTGCCACAGTCATCAAGAGCAGCATACAAACTGATTGCAACTAGACACAACAGTGTATGAGCACTGTAAGAGCAGATTTGGGGGGATCTTTCTCCTAAACATACTGTAGCAGCAGGTAATGCTGGACCATCACACCATACTCTGAGTTATTTCAGAGTGTACTCATGATATCTTAAAATATGAATGCCAAAATATTTGAACCCTGGAGCTTAACATTAAACATCTCCACATAATCTTCACATGCACGAGTAATACAATTTGATTTTCAAATGGGCTTCTCACTTTCTATTAATGGGAGTAAAAGGAAAGTTGAGCCATCTACTTGGGGACCACAGTATAGATTAAAGGACCTAATTTTAAACTCCCAAATTTGAGAATCCTGGCCATAGGCCTCTCTATACCTGCTTAGATGCAAGGTCAGTAATATACCTTCATCATGTTTTTCATCATAGAGAGGACAGCTGCAGCTACTGCAAAGGAAGGTCACCCCAATTTACGATTCTTGATCCTTCTCTCCTTCCTCAGAGTAAATTCCAGTGTGCATAACATGCATAGTGAACATAAATAAGAAAGATCATATTAACTTTCATTAATACAGATTTTTTCACAAATAACTGTTGAACTTCTGACTTTATAATTATTCCTGTAGATAGAAGGCACCAGAGAAACCTTTTCAAATCAGTGTTTCCTGAAGGGGTTGTATTAGATTGGAATGCATCGCAGTTATTAAGTGTACATCAACTTTACAGCCCACTCTTTAGTTTGAGTCAATAACAAGAATTTTGAACTCGTTTACATGCTGTTATATTAAATCAAAGTAACCATATTTTGCATCAGCCAAATACAAGTGTAAACAAATAATGTTTTAATATATTTAAGAAAAAAAAGAGAGAAAATTTAGAATGGGCATTAACTGCTGCAGCTGCAAGCTCATTTGATATTTAAAAATTCGAATATAGAGAGCTGTTATTCTAATTCCTTCATATTCCATATACCAACACAACATTTCTCAGGTCAAGGACTGAAGAAACAATTAGCTATTAAACATGGTCAATGTAAGTCCACAGCAAAGTTCCAGTCATGTTGCAACATACAGTGTGTTGGGCCACTCAGATTTTGGTGGTGTCAAAAGACATGAGTGTAACATCATTATGGCACATAAAATTTACAGTGCTTATGGAGGCATAAGAAT